AATTAATAAAATTGCTTTCTTAATTTTTCTTTTGGATAGCTTTAGTGTATAGAAATGCAACTGATTTTTGTATGTTGATTTTGTAACCTGCAACTTTTCTAAATTTATTTGTTAGTTCTAACAGTTTGGTGGAGTCTAGAGTTTTCTACATATAAGATCATGCCAACTACAGAGAAAAGTTTACTTTTTCCCTTTCTTATTTGGATATCTTTTATTTCTATTTCTTGTCTGACTACTTGGCTAGAACATCCAGTACTATGATGACAAGAAATGATAAGAGTAGGCATCCTTGTCACATTACTGCTTTTAGGGGAAAAGCTTTCACCTTTTCACCATTGAATATGATGTTAGCTGTGGGACTGTCATATATGGTATTTGCTATACTGAGGTATATTCCCTCTATACCTAATTTGTTAAGTTTTTTTTTTTATTTTTCTTAGAGATAAGGTCTCATTCTGTCACCCAGTCTGGAGTGCAGTCTCATTATCATGCATCACTGCAGCCTTCAACTCCTGGGCTCAAGTGATCCTCCTCTCTCAGCTTGCCAAGTACCTGGGACTATAGGCGTATGCCACCAGGCCTGGCTGGTTTTCTACTTTTATTTTATTAGAGACAGAATCTTGCTATGTTGCTCAGGCTGATCTCAAACTCTGGCCTCAAGTGATCCTCCTGCCTTGGTCTCCTTAAAATGCCAAGATTATAGGCATGAGCCACTGCATCTGATTTTTTTTAAAAAAATCATAAAATGATGTTAAATTTAGACATGTGAGCCAGGTGCAGTGGCTCACACCTGTAATCCCAGCACTTTGGGAGGCCGAGGCAGGTGGATCACCTGAGGTCAGGAGTTCACGACCAGCCTGGCCAACATGATGAAACCCTGTCTCAAAAAAAAAAAAAAAAAAAAAAAAAAAAAAAAAAAAAAAAAAAACCAAAAAAAAAAAAAAAAAAAAAAAAAAAAATTTAGCTGTGTGTTAAGGTAGTATATCACATTTATGGATTTGCATGCATTGAAACATTCTTACATTTTCGGGATAAATCTCACTTGATCATGGTGATAAAAAAGGAATAAATCTTCATTTGAGTTCAGTTTGTGGGTATTTTGTGGAAGATTTTTGCATCTATTTTCATCATATTTTGGCCTTTAATTTTCTTTTCTCTTAGTGTCTTTGTCTGGCTTTGGTATCAGGATAATGCTATCCTCTTAAAATGAATTCAAAAGAATTTCCTCTTCTTTGATTTTATGGAAGGGTTTGAGAAGCATTGGCCTTGTTTTGTTAAATGTTTGGTAGAATTTACCAGTAAAGCCATCTGGTTCTGGGCATTTATTTGCTGAGAGATTTTTGGTTACCGATTTAATCTCCTTACTACTTACAGCTTTATTCATATTTTCTATTTCTTCATTATTCAGTCTTGGTAGGTTGTGGCTGGAAATTTATCCATTTCTTCTATGTTGTCCAATATGTTGGCATGTAAGTTTTAGAGTAGCCTGTTCTGATTTTTTAATATTCCTGTGGTATCAGTTATAATGTCTTCTCTTTCATTTCAGATTTTGAGTCTTCTTTTTTTTTCTTAGTATAGCTAAAGATTTGTCAAAGTTGTTTATATTTTCAGAAAAATCCATCTCTTAGTTTTGTTGATCTTTTATGTTTTCTAGTTTCTACTTTCATTTAATTCTGCTCTGATATTTCTTATTTCCTTCTTCCTATAAACGTTAAGCTTTGTTTTATTCTCTTTTTAGTTCCTTGAGATATATAGATTGTTTATTTGAGATCTTGATTGCAATAAGCATTTATTGCCATAAACTTCTATTTTAGAACTGCTTTTCTGTATCCTATAAGTTTTAGTATGTTGTACTTCCATTTTTGTCTCAAGATAATTTAAAATTTTTTCTTTTTATTTCTTCTTTAATCCATTGATTGTTCAGGAGTATGTTCTTTAATTTCCACATATTTGAGCTTTCCACCTTTCCTTTTGTTTGCTAAATTTTTATCATGAAGGGGTGTTGAATTTATCATAAGCTTTTTCTCTGTTGAGATGATCATATGGTGTTTGTCCTTCATTCTGTTGATGTTAGGTAACACACTTATTGATTTGTATATGTCAAATTATCCTTACATTGCTGGTATAAATCCCACGGTGTGTTCTATTTGTGATGTGCTGTTTGATTCAGTTTGCTAGAATTTTTTTGAGGATTTTTGTGTGTTATATGCATCAGGAATGGTTTCATACCATTGTGGTCACAAAAGATACTTAATGTAATTTCAGTATTCTTGAGTTTGTTAAAACTTGTTTTTTGGCCTAACATATGACCTATCCTGAATAATGTTCTGTGGGTACTGGACAAGAATGTGTATTCTGTTGCATATTGGATGGAATGTTCTGTATATGTCTGTTAAGTCCATTTGATCTAAAGTGTATTTGAAGTCCAATATTTTGTAATTGATTTTTCCCTCTGAATGATCTTTCCATTGTTGAAAGTGGGGTCCTTAATTCTCCACTATTATTGCATTGTTGCCTACTTCTGCCCTCAGATCTGTTCATATTCACTTAATATATTTTGATGCTCTGATGTTGGGTGCACATATATTTATAATTATGTCTTCTTGATAAATTAACCCCATTATCATCATGTAGTAATCTTCTTTGTATGTTACAGTTTTTTACTTAAAGTCTCTTTTATCTGATGTAAGTATACCTAATTTTACTGTCTTGTAGTTTCAATCTGCATGGAATATATTTTTCTCTTTCCTTAATTGCAGTCTATATATGTCCCTAGAGGTAAAGAGTCTCTTGCAGGTAGGATATAGTTGGAGTTTTTTTTTTTTTTTTTTTTTTTTTTTT